ATTAGCCTACAACGTCTTAACTTATACCAAGGAAACAAGTACTACAACTTACGAGACGAAACTTATTTTCTTGTCAAGTTGTAACCTTTTTATGACTAATGATACATTACATCTTAGCCTTTGCTATATAGTAATACAAAGAATATGTTCAGCGTTGGTTAAATTCCACTATATATATCAACAGCCTGTTGTTTACTACAACATAGTAATTTGAAACTGAATCATACTTTTCTTCTGAAACGTACTGTTCGGTGTAACTAGACACTCTCACGCTCAGAATGTTCTGTAAGTAATGTGTAAACCTTTACAGATTTCGCTAAAAATAGGTTGTTTACTTAGATATAATGCTGGCTCACGTTTGTTGTTGTTTTTGCACAGTGTACTGTTTACTTTTCTAACTCTTTCACTGCCAAGAAACACATATAATGGATGTCACTATAAAACCTATACTTTATTTCGAAAGATGCAATATTAAGTAAATGTTCTGAGAAATAGGTATGCAGTAAGATCCTAGTCTTATAATTGTTTTTAAACACACAGTTTGCGCGTCAATGAGACCGAATTCTGGAGATTGAATGGGGGTCATGGTATTTCAAATTAGAACTAAACAAGAGAGAATCCTCAATAGTCGCGGCACTTGAAATTATTTTAGGCGGGATTAGAGTAAATTAATCTACGATACTTTTTTCCCCTTTTTATTATCTACATTTTTGTGCGCCAGCAATACCAAGCGTGGGGCGCGCGTATTCCCGATTCGATTTTATTGCTCATCAGGATCGTTACCAGCCTACCCTAAAATTGAAATTATTTTAGGCAGGATTGGAGTAAATTAATCTATTTGACCTTGGGCGTGGACAAATACATCAATCGAAAAGGTTTGACGTCCTTAGTCCAAAACTGTGTAATTAAACCCCAAATCCGTCAAGGGATGACCGAGCTATGAGCTAGAAGTGTGTACTTGAAAAAACAAACCAAAAGCTCACAGTCGTTCTACGAGCCGTTATGCCGCCGCTAAAAATATACAAGAACTTTAGTTTAGAAATGGTAGGGTATTTGTCTGGAAAGCTGAGAATAGTAGAGTAATCCATAAATCATACATGATTAGTTAGTTATAAATATGTTACGTTAAAGCCATTCGATTTCAAAGTTTTAAACAGCAATTTTTAGCAGTTTTATAGGTATTTCCTGATATATACTTTTCCCTCGACTAATTTTCATGCATAGTTAGTTATAAGTAACAATTCTCGCTATATAGGATACATATATATGCTGTATATTGATCTACGTAGCTTAAAAATCATTGGAATTTGTTTTCAGCTTCGGCAGTTCATGTTTTGGATTTTTCTAGCAGAATGTAGTGTATCGATTACTGAAATATTAATGATTTTGACAAATTTTGTAAATATGTTGTTAACCATAAAGTAAGAGGTATTTTCAGTTATTATCCGGATAGTTTAACATATTTCCAATAAAATGTTGTAGTTCATCCAGCTAAAATATCATGCATTAATGTGTTTGTTTGTTTGTAGTTATGCACAAAGCTACACAATGGGCTATCTGTGCTCTGCTCACCACGGGTATCGAAATCCGGTCTCTAGCGTTGTAAGTCCGCCGACATACCGCTGTGCCATTGGGGGGGGGCACATTAATGTGTCAAACAGTTCATTATCTTTAAACATCTTAACCTTATACAGATATCGTAACTTATATACAAATATTTTTTACGTAAGTTTCATACATGATGTAGTCTTTTTCATAAAAATAATACATTTAATATAATCGATAATATTAACATTGATTATAAAATTAGAATATATGGTATTCAGAATTAAAAATATTTTTACAATTAATGGTTTATACTCAATATACAAATAATTATAATACACAAGAAGTATATAATGATAACCCATTATGCAACTTTGTTCTAATTTGTTTGTTTGAAATTAAACAAAAAGCTACACAATGGACAATCTGTGCTCTGCCCATCCCAGATATCGAAACCCGGTTTTTTAGCGTTCTAAATCCAGTGACATACCGCTGTAACACTGGGGAGTATTAAAAATGTTTTAAAATCTAGTTTGCAAAATAGAATATTTTATGATGTACAGAACTCGCACAACATTTCCCAATAAATGTTTGATGTTAGGTACATTTAATTGAACTAACATCTCAGTAATACGACAAACTTAGTAATATTTTCAGGGCTATATTTTTAAAATAGAAGAATTGTTAAAAAAATAGATAAACGACGAAATTGAAAACATCATAAAAGTTAGAAATAAAGTATTCGAAAATTATAACACTTATACACAAAATTATGTCCAATATAGGAACATGGTAATTAGCAAAATTATAATTTAAAAAAAGAATTATTTTCATTAAATGATAGGTTTATTACTACACAAACCTTTGAATGTTATATTAATTACAATCATATCACTTCTGGTGTTCCTCCTCAGGGATTAATTTAGGCCAGATTTTATTTTTAATTTCTACAGATGTTTGGGCTAGTTTAGATTTAGAAAGCACGATTTATCTTTATGCTGACCATACGGTATTATTCTTAAAACATTACGCTCTTGGGGATGCATTTAAAAATACCTTAAAAATGACTAATGGCGGTAAAACAACTATATTTTTAAATACTTATAGATTGCGTGAGTTTTCACTTTCTAAATAAGAATTTGGCTAAATTTCCTATATTGTTTGTTCAAACAGTCTAATCTTACATTTTACAACTACTATTTTTATTTAGCATATCCACGAATTCAAGTATCTGAGAATGACTTTAGAATTAACGTTTTGATAGACTTTTAATATTATTTAAAGAGACCAGCATTCGCGGGCGAATGTAGTATGTTTCCACTATGCAATCCCAACATGGCAATTGTAACACTTAAAAACGATGAAAAACACAGAAAAATCAAAAACTACCTATATCACTGCTTCGGACCTGCAAGAAGTTATCTTTGTACCAAATACCGTGTAACATAGACATGAATAATTCACGAAAACCCCAAATTGTGCTCTCCTTACTAAAAAATTAAGAAAAGAACAAAAATTATAAGAACGTCTATATCTCTGCAAAGAGTACCTTTGAACCAAATCCAATGTAAATTGGCCGAAATACGGCGCATCAATTGTCAAAATCCCTAAAATTTGCTTTTTATAACACCTTGACGCTTCTATAATTACCAAAAATGGGCAACTCCACCATTTTGTTCGTCAATGTGTAGGATATGTAGAATAGCACCTTTGTACTAAATCCTTTGCAAATTGATCACAATATGGCCGAGTAATTGACAAAAAAACCAAAATTATGCCTTTTTGTGAGCTCTGACCCCATAAAAAGACTCAAAAAGGCAAATCCGACTTTTTTTATGCTAATGTGTTAAGCACATGAAAAATTTATATTTGTTCCAATTTTAATCTTGGTTGCTGTAAATATGACTGTACAGGAACTCCAAGTATACATTTTTGGGTTGTTTGACCTTTGACTCCATAAAAGACTTTAAAAAAGGCTTATCTTAAAACAATAAAGAAGATGTCTAAGCGTACTGGATCAATGTATAATCCTACCAAGTTTCAAGTCAATTCGCCGAGAAATTAAGGAATGACGTTCGATTGAAAAGTATTTGGAAGAAGAAGAAAGTAAGAAAGAAAAAGGAGAAACAATGGAAAAATAGTCTGTCTCTCTGCAGAGACATAATTACATATGTAATAGACTCCGTCGTTGTGTACTTATAACATATAAACTGCAGTAGAATAATTCCTCAAGTAAAAGAATTTTGTTTATACATCTATGAAGGTAATTATTGTATAGAAGGTTGAATACGTTATATTAAAACGATTTGGAATTTGCAAACCGACAACCACAGCCGTTATAAAGTTCCAATGGAACGGAATGTATCAGAACTACATTTTGACATTGTTTTGACGTTACGTAGGTAGTGTGATGTTGTCGAAAATTAAACGCTTTTAGGAATGGTGTGGTAACAGCCCTTTCCGAATCAAAATATTCATTCATGAAGTGTAATGAAATGGTGAGACTCTAGAATCCATTTAATTTAACGTTCTCAACCTCTGTAGGATATGAAGTGTTAACATATGGTTCTACTCACTACATTAATTTGAAAATAATTGAAGTTATACAAAAAGTATTATTAAAAGTCTATATAATGCTAACTCCGTTAATAATTATATGTATTATAATGATATATTTAAGTCCTTGGAAAACTGAGTGTTTCTGATCTTTAAATAAGCATTATGGTGATTGAAATTATTTTTCTGGTAAGCATAAATGTTTGGTTAATCATAAGATATATAATAGGTATAAGACTTGTAGTTATTATACATTTCTAACAACAAGAAATGATCATGCCAAATGTGTGAAATATTATCAGGTTCCTGTTAGTTTTGATAACTAGCAATTTAGACATTACTAAAAAGCAAATTAAATAATGGCTCTTAAATCAACCTTAATCATATTTTTATGACATTTATATGTTATATAAAATTTAATTATACATTTAGATATTACTAGATATATTATTTAAATATTTTTTTACATAACTATGATGTAGCGAACGTATTAATTCATTTATGTTTATACTTAGTGGTATTTTTCTACTATCCTGTAGATAAACGGTAAGTTTCGCAGAGTGTATTTATCATGCAACGATTGTATTTGTTGCAAAATAAAATATTAGACGAAAAAGTTTGAAAAATACTTGAAATAAAATACGTATTTCCTTATATTCTGAAATGTATTGAGACTATTGTCTCCAAAGATTTGAAACAACATTTTTGTATCAAAAGATAGTTCTTTAAGCAATTAACAACAAACTTGCTTGTTTACATACTTAAATGAATTATTAAAATAATGATTCAAGCTTATCAACCTCAGATAATTTATCATCTAATCCTCTTCATATTGTTCTTTGTCGGTTATTTTCTTACTGGCTTTTAACGTTAGAAAATTTTATTTAAAAGCAACTTACCTATTGTAAAAGTTTGCAGTGAAGCTTCTGTATGCAACGTCTCTGTCAGTAATAACACTATAAGCCACATTCTACTAGATCTTCTTTCTTCCACTGATATTCAGACCGTTCAGATGAACACTATTGGTTTTCTCTCAGCAAACCTCACTGGCCAAGTCTCTCAGAGAAAACAGGGACACGTCGCTCACGAGCTTCGCTCGATCTACGAGTAGTCACAAGTTCTCCTACCGTTTATATAAGCATGTGGACCGCCTGCAGTTTGTTTCACAAGCGAAGATTTACGTTATGTGATGACACATAATATTCGGAATTCGCAACTCTGTGATGTGTAAAAAATTCAAGCTTTATAAGTTCTAGACCTTTTCGTACGTTACTTTTCAAAAGTGAATTTCTATGCTTGCAAAGTTGCCTTAAATTCTACGAAAAGTCTAACTTTTTAATTTATTTTTAGGCACTTTATTTAAATGATTAAACAAATGTGGAAGTTTCCGTTAAAAATCAAATCTGTAATGGGTCAAAATTATTCTAAAGTTAAAGCTTTATTACGTAAATACTCGCTTTTTTATGACGATTGCACCTTCTTATAGTCTCAAAAGGCATTTGATATATGAATATGTTTAATTAATTACTAGTCATTTGCTCAGATCACAACAATATTTTAGCGAATGCTCTGTATTACGCCCCAAAGACTACCTTTCCTCAATTTCTCTGGATAAAATAATACCATAAACACTTCTGAGGGAAAACCATGAAATCACATGTAGAGAAAGGAACCCTTTATTAAATTTGTATGTAGGGGGGGGGGGGCTACAGGGAACTACAAAACTAAACAGAATGTCTTGTGATCAATACTTCTAATTAAGAAAAGGATACATGTCACTGCCCTATACCTTTGATGGTAGTCATTGAACTGATTCTGAGCAAGATACACGTGTGATGTTTCTTTCACCATTAAAACAAACATATCCTCAGTTACTGTTGGGGAAGCTTGATCATGAATCACTGCGATAAGTCTCAATTTTAAAATTACTTAATTATAATATTTCTAAGTTTGTATAACACTATTTCAAGCAGATGATATTGAACCTAACTCTAAATTGTATTAATTGAATGATATTCCGATATTTTGTTCATTTTCGGATTGATTTATATAATGTATAGAAATATAGGGGTATGAATTTGTAAGACCAAAGTCCATAACATATTGTTTTAATAATAGCGTGTATATGGTAAATAAAGATCATAATTTCATGAACAAGATTTCCTATGGCTTTTCTTCTAAGTCCCTAATGGCAAGAGAAGTGAGATAACAGGGCCTGTGTACTCTTGATTCAAATTAGGTTAATGATCACTCGGTCTTTCCGACACTAATTAGCTGAAACAGTTAGACGATAAAGTGTGAATTGTGCACATTAGACGTGGATGGAGAAACAACGCACCACTGATTTATCTAGAGATTGTGGTGATAATTAAATGAATCTTCATTGTGATGCTACCCTCTTGATACATCATACTTCGTGTTTAAAAGTATATGTCCATCATGACCAGGGTCGTTAATGACCAAATGAGAATGAAGTAAAATAATTCACCGCCCTAAGGGAGCTAGTAATTCAGAAAAACAAGAGTGAAGAGTAGTCTAACAGACAGAACCTCATGACTACATTAAAATAACTCTGTCACCACAAAGTGCTTTCTAATTCCAAGTATTTTTCTCTTAAAACACGTTTTCTGTAACTAATTAGAAGCCTGCCACGTGATTTCCCTCGTGAAATCTACACCAACTGGATTTCGTTAAGTCGTGATATTGTTTAGTAAAATAATAAACATTGCACCAAATGATGATTCACCTCATGAATTGGATTTGGAAATTATGTAGAGTTTTACACTTTGCCCAACGTCATTACATATATACATTGTACAAATGATCAGCCTTTCCACTCCAAGTACTACAAACTGACTAGTAGGAATAGAATCTATCATGTGGCGAAAGTTGATTACAGATATTGTGTAAACTGCACTATAAAACTTTATGTTGCAAATTAATACAAACATTATGTTATTCCACAATATTACAAACTGTGTTCCCTTAGCGTATATTTGTGTGAACTTTAATACAACAATTGGCTTTTATATCATGTTGCTTAGCGATAAAAGTATAACCTAATATCGTTGTTAGGAGGCTATGTGCTGAAAGTATAAAATGAAATGTATAAACTACAAAATTAAAAAATATATATTTGTTGTTTCCTAATTTATAGGCTCCGTTAATAAAAGAGGTTTTTAGTATTATTATTATTTAAGTTTGGAATCGGAGAACAAGTCAGAGGGAAGGTTACCTTTAGAAACTGGTCACAGCCCATAAAGGAACAACAGAAGTGTATAGGTTATACTTTTATGATAAAATGGGTTCAGAATACCCATACTGACATAGTCATCTAGAACTAATCAATCTAATAACCCGAACGAAGCCGGGTACTTTCGCCAGTAGTACATATGATTGTTGTAGCGATACACGTTTTGTGTATTTTCTAACAATGCAAATAATGTGCAGCTTTCATTGCTGTGTTATGGAGTCACATATCTTTATTATTATTTGTTTTATGAAGATTGTGTTAAATCCAACACAAAGATCGTGCATTAACCAACACATTAGTATTCCATTTCATTCACCCATATTGACTGTTGTAGCGACAAAAGTTTTGTGTATTTTCTAGCAGTACAAATGTTTTATTGCTTTATTGTGGAGTCATATTTTATTACATCTATGGAGATTGAGTTATGTCTAAAACAAAGATAATGCATCAACCAACACATTAGTGTCCTATTTTATTAACCCATAATGATTGCATATTTTTAACTGGGTTTTTACTGTAGCCATTCAAACATCAGACAGGTGTTCTACAGAATACAAGTTGTGTTTTTTAAAACAAATATTTATTATACTGTAACTAGAAGTGGTTAAATGTCTGCCCTTTTCGGATGTTTCAAATCTGAGAACCGATCTTCCACTCGAGAACTGAAAGAACAATGAACCAGAATAATAACTTCTTGGTGTGAAATCGCAAAAACACACACACACACACAAAAACAACATTTACATTAACAAATATATCTTATCTTATAAAATGTATTGATTATAATTGTTCTTAGATTCTTTGAATCATTTTCAATTTTAATACAGTTCCAAATTAAGCCCAAATTAATATACTTCATATGGCAATTATTAATTACTTCATGTAGACATTTCGAAAGTGATGTGGAAATCCTGATTCAAAGATGTATTCAAAATCTTTAGATTGGGCTGAGTACTCTTTGGTTTTCCCAGTATCTTTATAGTACACACACGTTATTGGGGTTGCTGCTCATGGGAAAACCAGCGAAAGGGGTTTTGTTTGTTTGTTAGTCTCTAAGCTCATAGATACAATGGACTATCTGTGATGTGCACACCACAGCGATTAAGCCCCAAATTGAGTATTATTATAAACATCATAATGCCAACATTTGCGAAACTCACTAACACCTGTTTAATTTATATATATTTTAGCTGTCTTACATGAAATTTAAAAATAAAATAGAGACTGTTGAAAATCTCTCTGATCATTGTACAATAAATTTATACTGCCCCTCCCCTTAGTCTTTGGACTTATTCTGCTATAAACAGGGTTTCGATTGCCCTTTTATAGCTTTGTGCTTAATAACAAATACCAAACAAACACCAAATTTATACTTCATAATGTTTTCAGTATCACTTCTACTGCTTCTAGATAAGCAAACCGATGTTCATTTGACAATACCATCAGAGTGAGGGATACCAACAATCAGTTACAGCTCCCCCCAGTTCAAGTTTCTCATATTCTCAGTAATTACTGTAAACAAAATGGAGAAAATTCATTTCGCCTATGTAACAAATTTAAATCAAATGGTGACAACTAAGTTCGTGTGAATATTGAGTATAAGAAGAATGGTGACTATTCAAATGACTTGTTAATGAGTGTAAAAAACGGAGAAGATTCAGTTCCTATGTAACAAATGTGGAATGGTTACTACGAACTTCGTGTGCATGTCGTGTGTACAAAGAGAATAGTGACTATTCAGACCATCTGTGTAACGGATGTAAACAAAATGGAGATTATTCAGACCTGGGTTGTGTAAAGACTGTAAGCAAGACGTTGCCTTATTAATTTCGTGTGTGTGATGAGTTGGGAGACAATTAGAGATACTAAGGCTTCCAGGAAAAAGAAGATAAAAAGTGATCGGTAAACATAATAAGGATGTGATATAAATATGTTTCAACATTTGTTGGAGAAGATAAAAAGTGATCGGTAAACATAATAAGGATGTGATATAAATATGTTTCAACATTTGTTGGAGAAGATAAAAAGCGGATCGGTAAACATAATAAGGATGTGATATAAATATGTTTCAACATTTGTTGGAGAAGATAAAAAGTGATCGGTAAACATAATAAGGATGTGATATAAATATGTTTCAACATTTGTTGGAGAAGATAAAAAGCGGATCGGTAGACATAATAAGGATGTGATATAAATATGTTTCAACATTTGTTGGAGAAGATAAAAAGTGGATCGGTAGACATAATAAGCATGTGATATAAATATGTTTCGACATTTGTAAAGATACTGGAGAAGATAAAATGTGGATAGGTAAAAATAATAAACATGTGATATAAATATGTTTCGACATTTGTAAAGATACTGGAGAAAATAAAAAGTGGATCGGTAAAAATAATAAACGTGTGACATAAATATTTTTTGACATTTTCAGAGACACTGAAGGAACAATGAAATTATCATTCACATTAACTGAGGTCCTATCGTTTACAAATAACTTACAGACATAACAAGCGCCATTATTAATCTCGGAAAATTAAACGTTGTCAATAATACAATGTAATGGTATCCCAGCCCATGAAACTTAATGGCTTTGTCAATACTGAAGCTATTTTAGCCTTTAAATCCATAAACTATTTCATTCGGCTGCAAACTTCCCCACACAATTTCTCGAGTCAGTTCCAATAATTAATTATTCATTTAGATTTCAATAGAAATTGGTCGATAAACTACTTTTCATGAAATATCACTCGCCAGATCACAAAACTTCTTTGTCGTAGATTCTAACATAACATTAACGATCAAACAGTTCCAAGTGTGTCACTTATTTCAAAAAAACTTGT